ATAACAGACTACTTCAACAGAAGAGGTGTCTATGTAATATTTCTCTTCAGAAGGAACCTTCTTCGAAGATTGGTTTCCGTGCTTGCTAACGTATTCGACAAGAACAGTAAACCCTTAAACGGAACACACAAATCGCACGTGCATTCTCAACACGAGGTCCTCCGTCCTCTTTTACTTTCTCCGTCGTTCCAAAATTCGTTTTGAGGATAAATTTTACTTATATGTCAAAATTTACATGCAGGCTCAAGTACTAGCAAAATACAAGCCTACTCTTAATGCCACAGTACTAGTATCCCACCTTAGGGCAGCAGATCAGGCAGTGGCAAAAGCACTGGAATACTTCAAAAGCACTCGACACATTGTTATCTATTACGAGGATATAGTTAGGAACAGCACTGTAAGAATAATTTCTCTATTTACATATGATTAATTTCTTGTGTTCTCTCTAATGAAGTTGTTTTTTGAGCAGAAACTAACAGAAGTTCAAGAATTTCTGAAGTTGCCTCAAAGAAATCTTACAAGCCTTCAAGTTCAGATTCACAGTGGCCCTCTGGCTAAACAAATCGAGAACTGGGAGGTCGTCCGGAAGACGCTCAAGGGGACGTCCTACGAAAATTTCCTACATGCAGACCACAAATTGTAGTTGGAATGGAGTTGGCGCATGTAAATATACTGTCTAATACTTCCTTTAGAAGAGGGTTATGACAATTTGATCAAAGGGAAAGAGACTACATTCTGCAATTGTTATCTTCTTTATTGGTAGCATTGTGGTCTTTACAAACTAAAGGATCGAGAAATTAAATTTTCTGTGCTCCTAATCAATCTTAAGGGTAAATTTCATGTTAAATCGAGAATTAACGTTTTTAACCAAATATTTCACGAAATCTTTTTGTAATTAAACCGATTGTAACCATGTGGTACGTTTTTCGCATTTTGAAGTGTATTTAATAAGAACTCTATATCATTTTATTTTCTTATATTTAAAATTTATATGACGTACCAAGTGTAGCATAAAATTAATCATGCTCTTTTCAAAGCTAATAAATACCCTTGAACCCCTGCAGCCCCAAACCACCATTGCCACCGCCACCACCGACGTTTAATAATACTATCTAAACTGTCCGTGATAGCAATCTAGGTATCAATTAAGTGGCATTAAGCAAATGAAACAATAAATTCCATTCAGTCAGGCTCAGCTATCATGAAAGAAAAGGAAAATAAAATTCCAAAGAATTTAAAGATGTCTGTGTAAATCTTTATAAGATTATAGCACTTACATGAATAGATATGAAAAGCCACTAGCAAAGGATATCTTAAATAGAGCCTAAAATATGATGAATCGTGCTT